CTAGTTTTGTAGTAAATCTTGAAAATAAGAAATGTAAGTATTCCAACTTTATTCTTCGTTTTCCACATTATTTTGGCTCTTCTTGGTCTTTTGCATTTCCACATGAATTAAAAAAATAATAATAATACATTTTTGTAAAATAGCCTGGTGAGATTTTGATAGGCATTGAATTGACTCTATTGATCAGTTTAGGAGAACTGCCATCTTAGCAATGTTAAATTCTCTAGTCTTTGAATAGTATATGTCTTTTCATTATTTGAGGTATTTAATTTCTCTTAGTAATGCTTTGTTTTCAGTACACACATCTTGCATTTTAAAATTAAATGTTTTTCTAAGTATATGCTTTTTGATGTCCTTATGAACGGAATTGTTTTATTTTGTTTTAGTATAGGTGACTGCAAGTATATAGTATATGGAGTGTTGGTGTGGCATGTAGGCTAAGCACTTGACCTCACTGTGAGTTTGAAGCACAAGGTTGGCAGTTCAAACTCACCAACCACTCTTGGAAGTGCTAGAGAGGTTTGCTATGAGTTAGAACTGACTCTCTGGCATGTAACAAAACAAGTATATAGTATATAGGGTCCTGGTGTGGTACTGAAGGATAAGTACTTGACTGCTAATTGCAAGGTTTGCAATTCAAACTTACCAGCTCCTCCTTGGAAACACTATACAGCATTGCTATGAATCAGAAGTAAGTCAATGACACTTAACATCAACAGAAGTGTACAGAAATAAATTTGATTTTCACATGTACATCTTGATGAACTAATTTATTTCTTCTAGATTTTTATTGTTGTTTTGATGTAGAGTCTTTAGGATTTTTCACATAGATGTTTCTATATAAAGCAACCACCACCATCACCAATATGTCAACTCCTTTTGTCTTTACTCACTGAGCCATATTTACACTTACACCCTTTATTCATATCTTCTTCCAAGTTGTTAACCACGAGACCACCAGTTTGTTGTTGTTAAGTACCATCGAGTGATTCCGACCCATAGCAATCCTGTATAGGGTTTCCGAGGAGTGGCTGGTGAGCGTGAACTGCCGACCTTGCAGTTCAAATGGCTTTGCAGTCTGGTGCGGTGTGTTAACCCACAGCACCACACCAGGACCCCCAGTTTGTTTGATACCATTTAAATCCTCACCAGCTGCTCCTTGGAAGCTCTCTTCAGGGTTGCTATGAGTAGGAACTGACTCAACGGCCCTTAAAAACAACAATAAATTCTGCTTAGGTTCTCCTGGGTTACTCCCACTACAGCAGTTGTATATTTTGCCTCTATTTCATGGAGAATGTTAAGGTTATCACAGGCAGATTTACTGTGAATAAAATGATGCTTAAGTTTGAGAACTCCTTACTCAGAATTCTTAGCAAAACCTTGGAAGGGATTCTAGCAAAAAACAAAACACATCAAAGGTAATTTAATTGTGTAATTGTTTAGAAATCTGACTTTTCTCATTCTGATTTCCTTTCTGTCACACTTATGATATGCATATGGCCATGGAATAATCACAGGCATTTTGGAATCTAACTAAGGAAAGTTGAATTGGCAATACGCTTTTATTTTTTTAATGTTTTATTGTGAATTATGTGATAGTTTACATGGGAGAACATTAGCTTTACATTCATCTTATCGTATGTCATTACATTGCCATGGTTACAATCCCCGCCATGCAATATCAAACAATCAAATGGTACACCATGCAAGCCTCCCCCCTGGTCATCAGCACACAGCCCTTCTCCTTCTCCAGGTCTAGAGTTCCCAACCACTCCATCTCTCCACATCATCATCTCTGCCTCCGTCTCTGGTGTCACTGTTTCTCTGGGTAGGGTCCTGCGCTCCACTCTTCTCCCTTGATGGTCCCAGGGCCCTCCGCTCCTGGACCTCCGCTCACTGCCCTCCTTTTACTACAAAACATCCACCTTTACAGTTCCAACCCATAGTCAGTCCTGATAGTAATTATTCACTATTATACCACATGAGTGCTATCCACATCTCCTTTCATCAGTCCTGCCCAGACAGATTGGATACTACTCAGTGGAGGTTCTGCCTTCTTCTGTGCCCTCTGGATCTAGGCTCCCTCTTGATAGCTTGTAAGCCAGTCATTTCTTGCCTTTGTAGCACCCCCCCACCACCACCACTATTTTTGGTAGCTAATGTCCAAGTTGCCTAATCCTGTCTACTCTGTGTATTGAGGGGGTGGGAATAATCCTTGCTGTCAAGATTGGTTCCCTCTTTTGAGCTACTGCATCCATAGATGTAGGTTGAGTTTATCAAGTGGTATCAGATTACTCTTTTCTACCTCTTCTTTCTTCTTCTAGTTGAGCTCTGATCATCCAGTCACTGAAGCCATATCAAGTGGGTATTATCTGTAAGTGTGAGTGTTCTTGTGCATATGCCCTCTCTTTCTTATCAGCTGGATGCTTTACTCTCCACTCTAGTCCTCTGTGGCTATGTCACTGACTTTGAGTCCAGGAGTCCCCAGGTCTTGCCAAACTTCAGGCCAACTGGGTCTCCACCTGGGTTAATAGGAGTGTATTGAATGTGGTTGCTTCTTCTGTATTCATTGTTGTTTTTCCCTCACTTCCCCTTATTCGGTGACCAACATGGTCACCAGTCAGAGCAAATGTCTGCTTGTGTATTCCCATTGAGTCTTAGTCTTGGGAGGGGGTTTGCCCAGAGGGGACCCGACTACTTGCCTTAATGTCTCCTGAGGGAGCAACTTGCCTGTTCTTGTAGTAGTCAATCAGACTGCCTATATTGTATTGTATTTTTCCTATAGGTCTTTCTTTCAAGAAGTATCTTCTGTTCTTCTAGCCACTCCAGGTTGGTCTGCTTATCCTTTCCTGTGGAAATTTCCCACCTTAGAAAATTCTGAATGGGGTTTAGGATTCCACCTATGGTCTTATGTAAGGCAGAGGCTCCACAGGAAGCCTCCTTCACTGAGCACATTGTAGCCCCATTTTAGGTATTCCAATCAGTTATAGGCAGAAGACGGACTTACAAGCTTTCTATGGTGATATTTCTGGCTATTCCTTTCACTCCTCCTCAAGTGTCTATTTTATAATGGTATGCCAGGGAAACCAAGATTCAAAAGACAGCCAAACTTTTTAAGATTATTTCCCCATTTTGCCCATTCCAAACATGTCTCAATCCCTGTATCCCAGAGCCCTGTTGTTCAAAGGTTGTGCATACATCATTATTTACCTCTGTCCCACTTAGCACATGCAAACCTGCCTAATTGTTTTCCCATCTGACTTGTTCTTCCATTCTCCTCCCCCTTCTTCTGTATTGCCCCTTCCCTAGCACCCAAACTATCCTGTGTCTATTCCCTACCCTGTGCTCCACCTTCTGTTCCTTCCCTTCACCCCACATCCCAGTAACCAGCAAAGAACCCCCCACCTTTAGAATGGGTTCTTTTTCTTAGTATTTTACAGTAGTGGTCCTATGCAGTATTTCTCCTTTTGTGACTGACTAATTTCACTCAGCATAATGTCCTCAAGGCTCATCCATGTTATGTGAGAGCTTACAGCTTCCTTGTTATTCTTCAAGGTAGCATGATATTCCATTGTGTGTATGTACCACAGTTTGTTTATCCATTCTTCCATTGATAGGTACTTAGGCTGTCTCCATCTTTTTGCTATTGTAAATAGTGCTGCTATGAACATTGATGTGCATATATCTACTTGTGTTATGGCTCATGTTTATTATGGGTAAATACCAAGTAGAGGAATTGCTGGATCATAAGGTCTTTCTATTTCCAACCTTCTGAGGCAATGCCGTATTGCTCTCCAGAGAGATTGGACCATTTTGCAATCCCACCAGCAATGCAGGAGCATCCCAGTCTCTCCACATCCTCACCAGCATTTACTGTCATCTACTTTTTTGATCTTTGCCGTTATTGCTGGTGTGAGATGATATCTCATTGTTGTTTTGATTTGGGCAATACACTTTTATAACAGTCATTTGAAAAGACAATATTGAATGCTTCAAAAAGCCAATTAAATTACAGATTACATATTTGCATGTGCATTTTAAAAAGTACATGCAATTAAGTGTCATGGATGAACTGTATCCTCCCAAAATGTGCATCAGCTTGGCTGTACCAGAATTCTCAGTGGTTTGGCAGTTAGGTGATGATACATAACTGTATCATCATGTGATCTGATATGATAATCCCTTAAATGCTTGTGTTGTCTTCTGTATTCTTGTAATTTAGTGATCTTTTTTATCCACTCATTAATTTTATAATATCTGTTGGACACATGCTATGTAGTAAACACTGCTAGGTTCTGAGGAGAAACTGATGGATAAAACAGATAACATCTCTAGTCAGAAAGATAATATTAAACAATTATACTCCCATGGCTTCGGGAACCACCTTTTTGCTTATAACTAATTCCCAGAGCTGTATCTACATCTTTCTTGATGTTTAGGAAAATTATAGTAAGGATATCTGAAGTAATAAACTTCATTAATAGCTATGTATATATATAAAGACATTACTTGAGCTGTGACATTTGATGAAGCAAAAGCTTTGGACCCGTCATTTTAGAATGTATTTTTACTCTGAGTTTTATATTTATAGAACCTGTGGAAACCATGGTATATGAGACTGCTAAGAATCCTTGACTTACATTTTGATTTCATGACAGAACCACTTTCACCTAGTTTTCTTCGATAAATGTTTGCTGTTGGATTAATTCAAAATTTAATAGATTTATTCTTTATGAAAATAACCTATCTCCCTTTATACTTAAAATAGTAACAAAATGAAAATGAGTTAGAGTGATTGTATGCCTTAATCTAGCTTGATAGTCCAAATTTATTTATATATGTTTTCTCAGCATAATAGCACCTCCTTTCACTTTCAGAATGGTCCAGAGATAACAATTGTATATGCTTACTCTGGAAGTATGTCCTAAGAGAATGATTTCTTACTATGATTGCTTTTTAAAAAAACAATTCTAATTTATTTATTTTTCACTACTTTACAGTCAAAAATTGTTGGAGTACAAATATATCTGGAATAAGATACTTTCATTCCTTACTTCTACTAAAAGGGAGCTTGCCACTATTAGAAATGAAGTATATGATAATTTTCAAAGCTGGACTTCACTGAAAGAAGAAGTTTTTCTACAAATTAAATCTATAAGTGAAACAGCCTCAGCAGGTTTGTTATTTATATATAGAACGCAACTGTCTTTTTTTTAAAAAGCTCATTTTTGTATGATAGACATTAGAATTAACTGCTGTGGGTTGACAACTATAAAGATCAATTCCAACTCATAGGTTGACTAATTCTAGGCATATCTAAGAAAATATGGTATGTCTTTCTTGAGCCAGAAATCTGATTTTTCTTGTTAAATGCACTATTTTGTATTTAATTTTTTTTCTTGTGTTAATTGCAAAGTTGTTCATATTTGAATAACCCTGCCATAGGTAATGACTATAAATTTAGCACAAAATATGAAAAAGAACTAACTGAAAACACGAGCGAGTAAAAGTCAAGCACATAATGGGAGTGGTGAACATTGAAGGCAGGGAATAGCACTGGGTGAATTCCCTGTTTGTTGTTGTTATCTGTTTGGTTTTTCTGCTATTAGACCAAGGGCAGGCACAGTGTGCTCCATGCTGGGAAGTTGAAACTGATAGAAATCTGTAGTCTTTTTGGTATAAAGAACTGGGGGCAAGAGAGCAAAGTAGCACCAGCCTCTAAGGAGTGAGGGAAAATCCCAGAATATAGATAGCCAGAGAAGAGGAGCCCACATTTTGCATATAAACTCTTCCCAGATCTCTGGCTTATCACTGAAACATTTGTGCACAGGGAAGAACCTAGACAGCCTGTCTAAATTTAAAATAATTTTATCTTAGCTGATGCCTACCTCAGGAGGGAAAGACTTTTTTTCAGTCTGTTTTGTCCAAGTTAACTGCTTGTTAAAGCAAAGTAAAACAAAATCAATACTCTAACAGGAACATAACAGAATTTGGAGTCTCCATATTACAAAATTCACAGTGTTCAGGATATAATCTAAAATTACTTGACTTAGGAAGAAACAGGAAAAGCATGGCATATATCCTATACGAACAATTGAAACCAACCCCAAGCAAACCCAGATGTTATAATTTCCTAACAGGAATTTTCCACCACTCATCAGTTTGTCATACTGTGGTAACTTGTGTGTTGCTGTGATGCAGCAAACTATGCCACTGGTATTTTAAATACCAGCAGGGTACATCCAGGTGGACAGGTTTCAGCTGAGATTCCATACCAGGGTAGACTAGGAAGAAGGAGAGACAGATTACTTCAGAACGTTTAGCCACCAAAAACCTTATGAATAATAGTGGCACACTATCAGATAGCACCAGAATATTCTCAGATATCTAGTGCTGGAAGATGAGCCTCTTAGGTTGGAAGGCACTCAAAGTATGACTGGGAAGAGCTACCTCCTTAAAGTGGAGTTGACTGTAATGATGCAAATGGAGTAAATCTCTCAGGATCTTCATTTGCTGGTAGAGCACAACTAATAATGAAGAGAAATAGCTGTAAGCATCCATTAATAATTAGAACATGGAATGTGCGAAGTATGAATCTAGAAAAATCTGAAGTTGACAGAAATGAAATGGAACACGTGAAGATCAATATCCTAGGCATTAGTGAGCTGAAATGGACTGGTGTTGGCCATTGTGAATCTAAAAATCACATGGTTTACTATGGCGGGAATGACAAATTGAAGAGGAAATGGTGCCACATTACTATGTTGAAGTACAACGCTGTCTATGATAGAATAATATCCATAAGTCTACAAGGAAGATCAGTTAATACAACTTTATTCAAATTGATGCAACAACCACAAAAGATAGTGATAATGAAATTGAAGAATTCTATCAACTTCTTCAGTGTGAGTCTGATCAAACATGCAATCAAGATGTATTGATAATTACTGGTTATTGGCATTCACTGATTGGAAGCAAGAATGATTAGTAGTTGGAAAATAAGGCGTTAGTGGTAGAAAAAATGCTGACGATCATAAGATAGAATCTTGCAAGTTGAACGACCTATTCATTGTAATACCTTTTACAAAAAGACTACTATACACATGGACCTCACCAGATGGAATACACAGAAGTCAAATGACTACATCTATGGGAAGAGATGGAGGAAAAGTGAATGTCAGCGGCCAAAACCCAAGCCAGGGACAGACTGTGAAAAGACGATTAATTGCTCTTATGCAAGTTCTCTGGTAGCGTAGTGGTTACGAATCGGGCTGCGAACCTTAAGGTCAGTGGTTCGAGACTACCAGCCGCTCCACGGGAGAAAGATGAGGCTTTCTACTCCCGTAAGGATTTACACCCTCGGAAACCCTCTACAGGGTCGCTATGGGTCGGAACCGACTCGACGGCACTTAACAACAACAACAACATGCAAGTTAAGGCTGAAGCTGAAGAAAATTAAAACAAGTCCATGAGAGCCAAAAAATGACATTGAACATATCCCATCTGAAATTTGAGATCATCTGAAGAGCAGATTTGTTGCATTAGATACTACTGACTGAGGACCAGAAGAGCTGTGGATGACATCAATAACATCGTACAGGAAGAAAGCAAAAGGTCATTAAAAACACAGGAAAGAAAGACAATAGCAAAACTGATATCAGAAGAGACATTGAAACTTCCTCTTCAGCATTGAGATGGAAAAGGAAATGGAAGAAATGAGGAAGTAAAAACCAAATAGAAAATTTCAAAGGACAGCACGAGAAGACAAACTCAAATATTATAATGAAATGTGTAAAGACCTGGAGTTAGAAAACCAAAAGGGAAGAATACACTCAGTATTTCTAAAGCTGAAAGGACTGAAGACAAAATTTGAGTCTTGACGTTCAATATTGATGGATTCAACTGGCAAAATATTGAGTGATTCAAAAGAAGGTGGAAAGAATACATAGAGTTACTGTATCAAATAGAAATGGACGATGATCAACCATTTCAAGAGTTGGCATAGGATTAAGAGCCAATAGTACTAAAAGAAGTCATCCAAGGTACGCTGAAGGCATTGGCAAAGAAGATGACTCCAGGAATTAAGGGATTATAATGAATTGAAATATTTCAGCAAACATGTAGCACTGGAGGCACTCATCCATGCCAAGAAATTTGGAAGACAACTCCTTGCCCAACTGATTGGAAGAGACCCATATTTGCACCTATTTCAAAAAGAAATGACCCAACAGAATACAGAAATCATTGGACAATATCAGTAATATCACATGCAAGTAAAATATAGCTAAAGATAAATTTAAAAATGGCTGCAACAGTATATTGACAGGAAACTGCGAGAGATTCAAGCCAGATTCATATAAGGATTTGAAACAAAGGATATTATCGCTGATGTCAGATTAATTTTGGCTTAAAGCAGAGAATACCAAAAAGATGTTTGCCTGTGCTTTATTGACTGTGTAAATACTTTCAACTTGTGGATCATGACAAACTATGGACAAAATTGTGGAGAATGAGTATTCTAGAACACTTAATTGTGCTCATGAGGAACCTGAGCCTAGAGCAAGAGGCAGTCTTTCGAACAGAATAAGGGGACATTAAATGTTTTAAAATAGGAAAGGTATGTGCCATGGTTTCAGTGTGGCACTGCAGGATAATGTGCTGGACTGCAAGGCCCATTTGAACTGCAAGGTCAGCGGTTCATACCCACCAGCCGCTCCTTGGAAACCCTATACTGGGTTGCTATGGGTCAAAACCAACTCAACGTCACTTAACAAAAACAACAACATACTTAATCTGTATGCTGAGCAGATAATCCAAGAAACTGTATTATATGAAGAAGAACGTGACATCAGGATTAGAGGAAGTCTCATCAGCAGCACGTGATATGAAGATGATGCAATCTTGTTTGCTGAAAGTCAAGAGTACTTCAAATTCTTACTGATGAAAATCAAAGACCACAGCCTTCAGTATGGTTTGCACATGAATGTAAAGAAAACAAAAGTTCTCACCACTGGAGCAATAAATAACATCATGATAAATAGAGAAAAGATTGAAGTCAAAGACTTAATTTTGCTTGCGTCCACTTTTAACACTGATGGAAGCAGCAATCAAGAAATCAAACAACATATTGCATTAGGCCAATCTGCTACACAAGACCACTTTAAAATGTTCAAGAGCAAAGATGTCAGTTTGAGGACTAAGGTACACCTGACCCAAGCCATGGTGTCTTCAATGACTTCATATGCATGTAAAATGTAAACAGTGAGTAAGGAAGACCTTAGAAAAACTGATGCTTTTGAGAACGGTGCTGGAGAAGAATATTAAAAAAATCATGGATTGGATAAAATACACCTTAGTTCTCAAATTGACATCTTTGTTCTTTAACATTTTTTAAAGGGGTACTTTGCATCTAGTAATTTTAAGCTACACAGTATTCCCTTGTTCTGGTTGAATGATTGTCTATTGGTCCATGTACAGGTTTAGCATGAACACAATTAAGTGTTCTGGAATTTCCATTTTTCATAATATTACCCAGAATTTGTAATGATCCACACAAGTCAAATGCCTTTTAATTGTCAATAAAAAATGTGAACAGTTCTGGTGTGAGATGAAGCAGTAGGCAGGTTTGCCATCCTCTGTGCATGGCCAGTCTCTGCCCTCACCAGCCTTGTTATTGTTAAGTGCTGTCCAGTCGGTTCCAACCCATAGCGACCCTGTACAGGGTTTCCGAGGGTGTAAATCTTTACGGGAGTAGAAAGCCTCATCTTTCTCCCGCGGAGCGGCTGGTAGTTTCGAACTGCTGACCTTAAGGTTCGCAGCCCAATTCGTAACCACTATGCTACCAGAGCTCCTTAGTGGCCTATATATAGCACCCCCTCCTGGGTAGCCTCTGCTCTGCCTGAGGCTGGACACCTGACATACCATCCCTAAAACTTACCAGCATTCCAGAATAGGAAAAGACCCCCACCCCCACCCCACCAAAAAAACAAAATAGAGAAAATTGTCGACCGGTTTTGGAAGAAAATGTCCCTTACATCATGAAAAATATGTATTCAAGAAGTTGAATGAACTCCAAATAGGATAGACCCTAAAAGAAAACTGTGAAGATATACAACATTCAAACTTTTCAAAACCAATGCCATGAAATAATCCTGATCTCACCGTGGGGAAAATGAA